TGTGTATATATAACTTGGGTCATTGTATATACATATATTTTACACACATCTATATATGTATATAATTTGTAGATATCTTCTTTGTGTTTTAAAGTTATATATGTGTATATATAACTTGGGTCATTGTATATACATATATTTTACACACATTATATATGTATATAGATTTGTAGATATCTTTGTTTTAGTTATATGTGTATATATAACTTGGTTGTATATACATATATTTTATATATGTATATATATTTGTATATCTTCTTTGTGTTTTAGTTTATATATGTGTAATATAACTTGGCATTGTATATACATATTTTACACACATCTCTATGTATGTATATAATTTGTGATATCTTCTTTGTGTTTTAAAGTTATATATGTGTATATATAACTTGGATCATTGTATATACATATATTTTACACACATCTCTATGTATGTATATAAATTTGTAGATATCTTCTTTGTGTTTTGAAGTTATATATGTGTATATATAACTTGGGTCATTGTATATACATATAGTTTACACACCTCCCTGTTATGTATATAAATTTGTATATATCTCCAATGTGCTTTTAAGTTATATATGTGTATTTATAATTTCTCTTCCTACAGATCCCTGAAGATGTCTTCTATGAAGAGTTATTACAACGCGGATCCTTTGGTGCAGTATTGTGTAAAGAATTCATTGAGGTTTGGAGTTTTAGTCTGTTTTGCTTTAGCTGTTGTGTAGGGGTGATAAATGACACGCACACACACATATTAATATATATATATATATATATATATATATATATATATATATATATATATATATATATGGTATATCTGTGTGGTGTGTGTGTGTGTGTGTGTGTGTGTGTGTGCGCGCGCGCGCGCGCGTGTGCGTTTACTTTGTGGTGTTTAACACATTCAAACCTAGCTCACACACACATACACGCACACACCCGTATATATATATATATATATATATATATATATATATATATATATATATATATATATATATATATATATACATATATACATACATACATGTATAACAATAGATAGATGAATAGATAGATTGATTGATATTCATATAGATATACTTATATATATTTATTTATAGTTAATTATTACATAATTATATATTTGCATATATTCATGATTTGATAGATTAACCGACGTGCAAAAACGCCTGAATGACGTCACTCTGCAGCACAGTAGAGCCGCGATGTTGGGAGCTCCCGAGGTTCTGCAGCTCAACTCCAACATAATGCAGGCGATCGGGGCCAAGAAAGTGAGTTGGCTGTTGAGTGTTGTTTACAGGTGGACATCAAGTATTCACGCATACGCACATGTTTATGTGTGTGTGTGTGTGTGTGTGTGTGTGTGTGTGTGTGTGTGTATTAATGTTTTATTGTCTAATTTGCATTTTCTCTGCATTTTATATTTGGGTTAACGACAAAGGGTTACTCTAAAAATAGTGTTACCGTTATCACATCTACTCTAAAAAAAAATACCGTTACCGTTATCACATCTACTCATAGAAATGATATTATTGCCAGCTGTTACTGTATTTTTTTTCTGTTTATTTTTTTTAGAAATACATTAGTAATAATAACCTTGAAACTGTTTTAGAACATCAACAGATACGTATTTCTATAAATGTGACTGAGTGTATGTGCTTCCTTTAGAATTTGATATTCCATGCATTTTCAAGTATATTCCTATTTTCTCGGTCATTTGGTGAGCTCTGTTTTGCTTCGTCACTCAACAGGTGCTAGACATCGGGGTGTTCACCGGCGCCAGTTCCCTCTCCGCCGCCTTGGCTCTGCCTCCTGAGGGGAAGGTCCACGCCCTGGACATCAGTGAGGAGTATACCAACATAGGTAACGAAACTTTCGAACAAATCAGAGCAGAGTAAATGAATTATGCAGATATTCTTGCATTTCCACATTTGCAAAGTCATTAAAACACAGCTAATCCCTCGGAATATCTCACAATAACCTGTGACACCACGACCCCAAGACGCCATTCCCAAGGAACCGATATTCCAGGCAAGCCGTTCTGGGAGGAATCCGGAGTCGCGGACAAGATCCGCCTGCACATCGCTCCGGCTGCCGAGACGCTGCAGAAGTTCGTCGACGGCGGAGAAGCCGGCACCTTCGACTACGCCTTCATCGACGCCGACAAGACCAGTTACGATCGATACTACGAACTGTGCCTCACCCTGCTGCGTCCTGGAGGAGTCATCGCCTTCGACAACACGCTCCTAGACGGGGCTGTGGTCGACCCCTCTAAAGACACCCCCAACACGGTGGCCATAAGGAAGCTCAACGAAAAGCTGAAGGACGACCAGAGAATCAACCTCTCTTTCCTCAAGATTGGCGATGGCTTGTCGCTCTGCTTCAAAAAGTGAATTGCTCTTTGCACCCGATGGGCACGAGTCTACCACGATGGTAATTCACGTCGTTTCAGAAGACTATGTGACCCCAATACTTCATAAATAACAGTTATAAATCGGTTATTTTATTTTCCTAGACATCTTCAAAAACTAAATTTTATAAACTCAAAAGGAATATGACAATGTGTTACACATCATCCATATATATATATATATATATATATATATATATATATATATATATATATATATATATATATATATATATATATATATATATATATATATATATATATTATATATATAATATATATATATATATATATATATATGTATATGTTATATTATATATATACATATTATATCCATATATATATATATTTAAGTACATGTGGTTTGATTCGTCTTTAAGTACAAACGGCGAATGGGTGGCATGGATGATATACCCTTGCTTTGTATTCTTTAAGAAATAGATAAATACATAAACCGCCTTGCACTTAGTAAAATACATTTCGGTCAACACTGGTGGTGTGTGAAGCCGCCAGTGGGTAGCCTTCCCGGAGCCCCACATAGTGAGTATTACGCCTGCACCTCGTTCTTCCTCAGTCACGCAAAGCCCCGTCAACTCTGGGCAGATTGCGACGCTGCAGTCAGGCAACCGGCCGGAAAGCCTTGACTCAAAGGGCGCGAAGGACGTTTGTCGGTTGGTCGAGGACAGCGAGGCGGGAGGCAGAGTACAGGGAGTCCATACAAGCGAGAGGCATTAAATGGTGGACCAAACGTGTGACTTGTGGACTGTGTTATCCGTCTCTGGTCGCTGTTCAGGGTGTGGGATTCGTAATATCTGAACTGTTTTTATGTCATTTATCAGTTATTCTTCACATGCAACACCTCTATTCTTTTGGTGCTGTTAGAGAGCGTCTCATCCAGAAATCATCCTAGTTTCTAAAGTGACACACATTAACACATCTACCTACCTATCCAAATATATAATACATACATACGTATATACTGTACACACACACACACACACACGCAACACACACACATACACACACACACACACTGTGTGTGTGTGTATATATATATATATATATATATATATATATATATATATATATAAGAGAGAGAGAGAGAGAGAGAGAGAGAGAGAGAGAGAGAGAGAGAGAGAGAGAGAGAGTGTGCATATGTGTATATGTGTGTGTGTGTGTGTGTGTGTGTGTGTGTGTGTGTGTGTGTGTGTGTGTGTGTGTGTGTGTGTGTATTATATTATATATATATATATATATATATATTATATATATAATATATAAATATATTATATATATATATTATATATATATATATATATATATATATATTATATATATGTGTGTCTGCGTCTCTGTGTATTTTATGTTTATAATATATATATATATATATATATATATATATATATATATATATATATATATATAATATATATATATATATATATATATATATATAATATATATTATATGCATGTGTATTTTTATGTTTATATATTATATTATATATATATATATATATAATTATATATAATATATATATATATATATATATATATATATTATATATATATAAGAGTATATAAAGTTTGTAACTGAGCATATGAAAAATAACATGTCACTTTTGTACTTTCTCATATTAATATCATCAGCACATTAAAAAAAAAAGATACCCGAGGCAAAGTCACTTAAAAAAGTACCATGATTGCATTTAGCCTTCAGTCTTAAAGCTTATTCCCCAACACCAGCGGAGAAAATTTAATGTCATTACCTTTTTAGGATGGATTCGGATTTTTTTTCATTACGCTCATGAATAAAATAATGTCATCTGTCGGGACTTGATGCTTGATTGATACTGTTATCGGATAATTTTATTGGCCAATTGTATAACCCGATGAGGATATTAAACATTAGTCGTGAAAAAGTACAACATTTTTATCTACTTTTTGCCGAATGTAAAGCGGTTTATATCTTTTACAAGCAACAAATTATGTAGCCTAGAATGTCAGAAACATTAATTTCATTTGTAATGAGAAGTTATGTTAATGAGAGATATATATTAGATGAATAAAGAAACTACTACAAAAATGTTAGAATAAATTTAATTTCAGTTATGATGGGAGCATATGTAATTTCAAAAGCTAATATCATATTATACTTTATATGATTAGTAAGAATATCGCTACACATTTTTTTTTTTTTTAAGGGAGGGCTATAAATAGATAGCATAGCAATTAAATCTATTATTATAAAAAAAAAATACTCCATATGTTAGGTAGAGTTAAGAACTACTGATAAAAAAAAAAATGTAATTTTCTTTAATTACTACCTAGTTATGAAATTGATAAGAGGAAAGTTATTGAGGTCTGGAATTTCGAATATGTAATTAGGAAAGCTTAATTGGATATTGAATAATAAATTCCATGACCTTAATAGACCTATGTAGAGTGTATGTGTTTTTCTCTAATCATATAGATAGATAGATAGATAGATAGATAGATAGATAGATAGATAGATAGATAGATAGATAGATAGATACATAGATAGATAGATAGATAGATAGATAGATAGATTTTTTTTTTCTTTGCACTTTATTGAATTTATCTAACTTCGTGATGGCAGATTAAAAAAAAAAAGTTTGTAATTAGCTATTCAATATTAATCTTAATAAATATAAAACCCTGTGGTTTATATAGTCCAAGCTCGGTCTGTACTCCCCTATACGATATCATTTGCATATTAATGAAGTAATATATGTTTTTGATTTGTTCCCCTCAAATGAACAAAATATGATTTAAAGCGTGCAATACAGAAGTTGAACTAAAATGAACGTTTTCGCTGCTATTGCAAGAGTTGAAAATGGAGAAACTGTCAAACATTTAGCCTACAGGGAGAGCAAAGGAGAAAAAAAATTAGGCTACAAGATTTAGTTTCATTTTCTTTATATCGTTGTGTATGTGTGGCACTTGTGTGTATATGCGTATCTATCTGTATCTGTTTATCTATCTATATTCATCTATATCTATATCTATCTATATTTATCTATATCTATATCTATCTATATTATCTATATCTATATCTATTAATTATCTATATCTATATTTATTTATATCTATATCTATCTATCTATCTATCTTTTCATCTACCTATTTATCTATATATTCATATTCACACACACACACACACACACACACACACACACACACACACACACACACACACACACACACACACACACACACACACACACACACACACACACACACACACATATATACACACACACACACATATATATACATATATATATATATATATATATATATATATATATATATATATATATATATATATATATATATATATATGAATAAACATATAGATAGATAGATAGATAGATAGATATAGATATAGATATATAGACACATATATGTATAGATAGATAGATATAGATATAGATATATATAGATACATATATGTATAGATAGAAATATACACATATATATTGTCCCTTCTCAATGCAACGGGATAAAACACTTACGTATATGTCACTTCTGATATACATAAATCTAGGCGCATCATCATCATCAGCAACGCCTTTTCCAATTTGTTTGAGTGTTTAGCTTTTGCAAGAAAGATGTAACTCGAAATTGATAAAAGTGCATGAATAGTTTTTACTTGAAACTCCCGGTGACGATTTCCAAAGCTGACAGCAAAGGAGAAGTAAACGAGAGAAGAGAATAATCGTAAAAGGATGAAAGAAGAGAGAGAGGGGGAGGGAGAGGGGAGGGAGGGAGGAGGGAGGGAGGGAGGGAGAGGGAGGAGGGAGATAGAGAGGGGAGAGAGAGGGAGGAGGGAGGGAGGGAGGGAGGGAGAGAGAGAGAGAGAGAGAGAGGGAGAGGAGAGAGAGAGAGAGAGAGAGAGAGAGAGAGAGAGAGAGAGAGAGAGAGAGAGAGAGAGAGAGAGAGAGAGAGAGAGAGAGAGAGAGAGAAAGATAAAGGAACTAAAAGGGGTAGGCAGAGGGAAAGAGAGGGAGAGAGAGAGAGTATAGAAGGAAGGAACAAATGAAAGAGAAAACGATAAAAGGGATATAGAGAAGGGGAGGGATCAGAAGAGGGGGGAGGAGGGTGCAAGAGACACACTGAAAGGAAAGAGGAAAGTAAAAGTTAATCTTTATGAAAGAGGAAAATATAAAAGTTGTTGAAATCAGCAACTATGGAAAAAGTATAGATACGTTATTTTTTCTAGGAATATATATTGGGGTTATATAACAAACTGAATTACAAAGATACATACAGATAAACAGAGATAAATAATAGATAAGTAACGAGATAGATATAGATAAGTAATTGAGTAACTGGGTGTGCCATTTTTATTCATTTCACAGTTCTAGATAACGGAAATATCAATGGCCATTTTACTGTTTCAAATATAGTTTAAGTCCATACTAATTTACCCAAACTTTAAAGATAGTTTTTACCGAATAAAACCCTATGCAAATTCTTCCATACAAACATTATGTCAGAGCCTGAGAACTTAATTACCAGAATCTTAGCCAAATCACCTATTATCTCATCCCTCTCTAACCACTTTTACTTGCAAATGACCCCCTTCCCCCCTATAAATAGCCCCCCCCCCCAAAAAAAAAGACGAGAATAAACCACCAAATCTCTCTCTATTACCCCTCATTTATTTACCTGTCTTTGTGTCCTCCCCGTTATAAATGGCTGTCGTGCACGCGTTCCTCGCCAAAAGCCTCAGTGAATTCAGCCACGGGTTATAAGAGTCTGCCAAGCCTTTGTCTCCATCTCTGATAAACGGTAATGACTAGGGCAAGGAGAGAGCCCGCCACAACTGTCTAAGATAAAGGCTAACGAGCGAAGAGGAGAGGATGTCACGTTTATCTCATCGTGGTAAAAAGGGCCTTTAGTACCCCTTTAAGTGTGGGAATGGTGGGGCTCCTCTTCGGGACTGGTGGTGGTCCATCGTCAGCTGCGGTAAAAAAGCGATTCGGTTCGTGTGAAGTTGTATTGTGGGTGTACGGTGAGATACGGGAAAGGCAGAATGATAGATAATAGATAGATAGA